TGACCTCTGACCTCTCATGTTTACTCATGTGACTGTCTGACCTCTCCAGTTTAACTTCTGTGACCGTCTCACGTTAACTCTGGGTGAACCCTCTGACCTCTCAGTTTACTCTGTGACCCTCTCAGTTACTTCTGTGCACCTCTAACCTCTCAGTTACTCTGTTGACCTCTCAGTTAACTCTGTGACCGCATGACCTCTCAGTTTACTCTGTGACATCTCATTTTACTCTGTGACCTCTCAGTTTACTCTGTGACCTCTGACCTCTCAGTTTACTCTGTGACCTCTGACCTCTCAGTTTACTCTCTGACCTCTCAGTTTACTCTCTGACCTCTCAGTTTACTCTGTGACCTCTAACCTCTCAGTTTACTCTGTGACCTCTGACCTCTCAGTTTACTCTCTAACCTCTCAGTTTAATCTGTGACCTCTAACCTCTCAGTTTACTCTGTGACCTCTGACCTCTCAGTTTACTCTCTGACCTCTCAGTTTACTCTGTGACCTCTGACCTCTCAGTTTACTCTGTGACCTCTGACCTCTCAGTTTACTCTGTGACCTCTGACCTCTCAGTTTACTCTGTTACCTCTAACCTCTCAGTTTACTCTGTGACCTCTGACCTCTCAGTTTACTCTGTGACCTCTCAGTTTACTCTGTGACCTCTGACCTCTCAGTTTACTCTGTGACCTCTCAGTTTACTCTGTGACCTCTGACCTCTCAGTTTACTCTGTGACCTCTCAGTTTACGCTGTGACCTCTCAGTTTACTCTGTGACCTCTGACCTCTCAGTTTACTCTGTGACCTCTGACCTCTCAGTTTACTCTGTTACCTCTAACCTCTCAGTTTACTCTGTGACCTCTGACCTCTCAGTTTACTCTCTGACCTCTCAGTTTACTCTGTGACCTCTAACCTCTCAGTTTACTCTGTGACCTCTGACCTCTCAGTTTACTCTGTGACCTCTAACCTCTCAGTTTACTCTGTGACCTCTAACCTCTCAGTTTACTCTCTAACCTCTCAGTTTACTCTGTGACCTCTGACCTCTCAGTTTACTCTCTAACCTCTCAGTTTACTCTGTGACCTCTAACCTCTCAGTTTACTCTGTGACCTCTGACCTCTCAGTTTACTCTCTGACCTCTCAGTTGACTCTGTGACCTCTGACCTCTCAGTTTACTCTGTGACCTCTAACCTCTCAGTTTACTCTGTGACCTCTAACCTCTCAGTTTACTCTGTGACCTCTAACCTCTCAGTTTACTCTGTGACCTCTAACCTCTCAGTTTACTCTGTGACCTCTGACCTCTCAGTTTACTCTCTGACCTCTCAGTTTACTCTGTGACCTCTGACCTCTCAGTTTACTCTGTGACCTCTAACCTCTCAGTTTACTCTGTGACCTCTAACCTCTCAGTTTACTCTGTGACCTCTGACCTCTCAGTTTACTCTCTGACCTCTCAGTTTACTCTGTGACCTCTAACCTCTCAGTTTACTCTGTGACCTCTGACCTCTCAGTTTACTCTGTGACCTCTAACCTCTCAGTTTACTCTGTGACCTCTGACCTCTCAGTATACTCTCTGACCTCTCAGTTTACTCTGTGACCTCTGACCTCTCAGTTTACTCTGTGACCTCTCAGTTTACTCTGTGACCTCTCAGTTTACTCTGTGACCTCTAACCTCTCAGTTTACTCTGTGACCTCTCAGTTTACTCTGTGACCTCTCAGTTTACTCTGTGACCTCTAACCTCTCAGTTTACTCTGTGACCTCTAACCTCTCAGTTTACTCTGTGACCTCTGACCTCTCAGTTTACTCTGTGACCTCTAACCTCTCAGTTTACTCTGTGACCTCTCAGTTTACTCTGTGACCTCTGACCTCTCAGTTTACTCTGTGACCTCTAACCTCTCAGTTTACTCTGTGACCTCTGACCTCTCAGTTGACGCTGTGACCTCTAAGTTTACTCTGTGACCTCTAACCTCTCAGTTTACTCTGTGACCTCTGACCTTTCAGTTGACGCTGTGACCTCTACGTTTACTCTGTGAACTCTAACCTCTCAGTTTACTCTGTGACCTCTGACCTCTCAGTTGACGCTGTGACCTCTAAGTTTACTCTGTGACCTCTAACCTCTCAGTTTACTCTGTGACCTCTGACCTCTCAGTTGACGCTGTAACATAATCCTGTCTCTTCCGGTTCTAACAACATGTAACATGTTAACATGTAATGTAATGGTTTGTTTTCAGACTCAGCGAGCTTGGATCGAGAGAACCTTCCAGAAGAGAGAATGCATGCAGATAATTCCCAGCACAGATGCCAGCAGGTACTGCAGCAGATCCAGCTCTACAGAGGGGGGGGGGGGGTCACTTATTAATGCTACTCAGCACCTGACTGAGGACATCATAATGTTCCAATGTCTGAAGTCATCCTAATAACATCACAGCTAGGGCTGTGCAATTAATCGTATTTTAATCGCCATTACGATTATGGTTTGCGACGATTAGGAAAACAGCATAATTGACAAAATACGATTATTTTGCTGGGTGCGCTTTCGCCCCTCCCTGAAAGCCCACTCGGCCACGTGGGAGTGACATGTGTTGTGAGTGTTCAGCGCAAGCGAAGATGTCAGAACAAGAGCAGCAACTAGTTAAAAAGAAGGGTCGCGGGGAGATTCCCAGTCGATCGCGAGATGTGTCTAAAAATAGAACAACAATATTCTGTTTTATCGTTAATGTCCTGTAACATAATGGTCCCGTGCCAGAATAATGCACTTGAACGCATCAAAGCTTTGTGATTGGCCGGCCTCACCCCATGTGTCCGGGCGTGGCTGGTGGGCAGTGCACTATTTCGCTGAGGTTGTCCGTGTCAACAGGAGTGACAGTCCGCACACACACAAGACCGCAATTATGGCAGAAGCAAAAAAGCCCAAAATATATAATGTTCACTCCGAGTGGGAGGATGATTATTTGTGTATCTATTCCAATTCAAAGTCCATCTGTCTCATCTGCAATGCGAGCGTGGCTTTATCGAAGAAGGGTAATTTAGGAGCGGCATTTCAAAACAGTGCACAAACGCTACGAGACGGAATTCCCTCCTGATTCTGCCCTACGCTCCAAAAGGGGAGGGGCCTGAGAGGACAGCTAAATGCACAGCAGTCCATTTCCACCAGGCCCAACAACAAGAGCAAGGCTGCTACCAGAGCATCTTATCGTGTCAGTCACGTTCTGGAGAAACACATGAAGTCTTTCAAAGACGGCGAAGTTATGAAAGAAGCATTCCTGGAGGCTGCCGACGCGCTTTAGGGAGACAGTAAAAATAACAGAAGCATTTCAACAGGTTTTTGATATGATACAAACTCAAGTTAGATACCGTTATTAATCTGCTGTAAGTTTTAGTTTGTTTGAACTTATTCATTATAATTATTGTACAAAATGGTATAAGAATGCAAACATTAAATTGATTATAGTCTATTATCAATTCAGGTTAAGAAACTAGTGTTGCTTGCATCCTAAAGGGTTTGATTCTATTAATGTTGTCTTTTTTATTGCACGTTGGCAGCAGATTCCTGTGTAGCTTCAGATCTGAGTTGTCTTATTAGGAAGCCTCATTTATACTTTTGTAGCAACACTATTTTTATATAATGGCAAATAAAGGGTTCAGAGTCTTTTCTTTTTGTCCTGTGTCCTATGTGGCAGCACTGCCACAAGTTCCTCTTCAGAGAGGGTCTTCAGTACAGGTGGCAATATCGTCACCTGCCTGCGCTCATCTCTGAAACCAGACCATGTCAACAGGCTGGTATTTCTTGCAAAACATCTTTAAGAGATGACATGAGCAGCCCTACCAGCATGGTGTGACCATGGTGGCCTAAACATTTTTATTTGGTCTTAAATTGTAGTTCAACATGTATTTCCTGTTACTTCTGGACCATGACGGTGGGCCAGCCTTCAACGTTTAACTGAGTGGAATATGTTGAATATGTTTTACCAAAATGTTGGCTATATGTTAAGGAGTGTTCAGTAGGTTGTGACAGTGCACTGCAACATGTTTGATTTCATTTATTTTGGTCTAATTTATTTTTATTTATCATATTAATAATATATGTTTAGTATGGTTTTGGAAGTGCGCTCCAACACATTTATTGATCTTGTTTATTGGTAAAATATTATTTGTTTTAAAGTTCAATAAATGGTCAATGAATAATCGTCAAAATAATCGTGATATCAATTATTGACCCAAATAATCGTGATTATGATTTTTGCCATAATCGCACAGCCCTAATCACAGCTACCTGTAATCACCCATTCATATTCCCTGCTGTCTCTCTGCTGCTTGACTGAAAGGGTTGTGTGTGTTGTTGTTGTTGTTGTATTTCAGGTGCGGCTGTGGTCAGCTGGTGTCGCAGCACCAGTCGGTCCCGGGGGGTGCCCCTGAAGAGGGGGGGGGGGCGGTGGTGCAGCTTGAGGCCCCTGCAGAGAGATGGACCCCCCCGAAGCACACGCAGAGCTCCGGCACCGACGCATATGGACTCATTGAGTTCCAGGGGGGGGGGCACGTCAACAAGGCCATGGTAATATCACACACACTATCATACTCTATATTATATTTCATTATACAACATTATATATCATACATTAACATTATATATCATACATGAACATTATATATCATACATGAACATTATATATCATACATGAACATTATATATCAAACATTAACATTATATATCATACATTAACATTATATATCATACATGAACATTATATATCATACATGAACATTATATATCATACATGAACATTATATATCATACATTAACATTATATATCATACATGAACATTATATATCATACATTAACATTATATATCATACATTAACATTATATATCATACATGAACATTATATATCATACATTAACATTATATATCATACATTAACATTATATATCAAACATTAACATTATATATCATACATGAACATTATATATCATACATGAACATTATATATCATACATGAACATTATATATCATACATGAACATTATATATCGTTATTAGGGATGTAACGATACCAAAAAACTCACGGTACGATAATATCGCGATAACAAGTCCACGGTTTTTATTTATCGCGACATTGGATAATAAAGAAATTTTTTTTTAAAGATTATTTTTTTAAAAGAAGCATTTTAGTAGGATAGTATTTTAAAGTGTCAAAAACAAAGTGACAGACTGGAACAAGAAAGCCAGTGTTTTTGTACCTATAGTACTACCAAACAAAGTAGGCATTTTCTTTGTGCCACTGCACCTCACAAATAAACAAGGACATTTCAAAATCTACAATAAAATAAATCAATTTACACTTTAGTTTTTCAAGTAACTCAACTCAAACTCACTAAGTCACTCATTCGGCATGATCAGACAGGTTTTCAGGAATATGAGCATGTCCACATTTCCAGGTAGAAGCTGGGGTGTTTGGGCGTTTACAATATCACCTGCTGGGACAGCAGTGGTCGCGTTAACCGAATATATTTTTTAACAATGACGGAAAAATCTGAAAGCAGTCTGTCATTTTGACAGATTAGAACAAACTCGGAACAGCGCCAAAGTTTCCCCGCAGCGAGGCTCTGGTGTTATGCCATGTTATGCATGCCCTCCACAAGCAAATGATATAGTTTCCAAACCGTACTTTGCCGTACAGATCAACACATGTCTGGGAGGTTTTGCTTTACAGCTGTGCGCGCTCCCGCGAGGTGCATGCATATCTCGGTGGGTATGCATAACACGGCATAACACCGCCCCCCGTTGACAGTTCACGAGCGTGCTTCCTCTCTCTCCCCCCATGTCAGTGTGACACGTTAGTGGTAAATTCAGACCCGACGGGTAATAAGGGATTATGACGGATATTTAAAGAATCGGTCTGTCAAAATGACGGACAGTGAAAAAGTCTAATGCCACCTCAGTGGAACAGAGAGATATGCTTTGGCCATGGGTGACAGCAGTGGGTCAAACTGTACATTGTCTCTCCACCACTTCAAAAACAAAACCGTTGTTGCCAAGAAGGTGAGGCTTATTGACAGGGTGAGATAGAAATATACTGTTGGTACTAGTAAATGTCTCTAGGTATGTAAATGTAGCCCTGTAAATATGATGTCCTTCTGTGTTCTGTTGTTTTATGCTCATGTGGTAACCTACTTGCTGCCATGTTGGACAGGTCTCTCTCGAAAAAGAGATTGATGATCTCAATGGGACCAACTGGTTAAATAAAGGTTTTTCACGACGGTATTGGGACGTTTATTTATCGCGATACCGTGATATTCAGTATATCGTTACATCCCTAATTGTTATACCACATTATATATCATACATGAACATTACATATCATGCATTAACATTCTATATCATACATTAGCATTATATATTATACATTAAAATGATAAATAATTATACAACATTATGCATCATAGATTAACATTATATTTAATTATATAATATTTTATATCATTATACAACATTATATATCATGCATTAACATTATATATCATTATATATCACACATTAACGTTATATATCAATATATATCACACATTAACATTATATATCATTATATATCACACATTAACGTTATATATCAATATATATCACACATTAACGTTATATATCATTATACAACATTATATTTCATACATTAACATTATATATAATTATATATCACACATTAACATTATATATCATTATACAACATTATATATCATACATTAACATGACATATCATACATTAACATTATATATCATTATATATTATACATTAACATTATATATCATTATATATTACACATTAACATTATATATCACACATTAACGTTATATATCATTATACAACATTATATTTCATACATTAACATTATATATCATACATTAACATTATATATCATACATTAACATTATATATCATACATTAACATTATATATCACACATTAACATTATATATCATTATTACATTACATTGCATTTAGCTGACGCTTTTATCCAAAGCGACTTACAATAAGTACATTCGACCAGGAAGACACAACCTTGAAGAAAACAGAATCATAAAGTACATCAGGTTTCATAGAGCCAAACATTTCAAGTGCTACTCAACTGGCTTTAGGTAATCCAGTCCTTTATTAGTATATAAGTGCTTTGTTAATAGTTCTATCGCTCGAAGTGGAGTCGAAAGAGATGAGTTTTCAGTCTGGAAGGTGTGTAAGCTATCTGCTGTCCTGATGTCAATGGGGAGCTCATTCCACCATCTTGGAGCCAGGACAGCAAACCCACGTGTTTCTGCTGATGGGAACTTGGGTCCCCCTCGCAGCGAGGGTGCAGCGAGTCGTTTGGCTGATGCAGAGCGTAGTGCACGTGCTGGGGTGTACGGTTTAACCATGTCCTGGATGTAGGAAGGGCCAGATCCATTCGCAGCATGGTAAGCAAGTACCAGTGTCTTGAAGTGGATTCTAGCAGTTACTGGAAGCCAGTGGAGCGAGCGGAGGAGCGGAGTGGTGTGGGAACATTTAGGAAGGTTGAAGACCAGACGAGCCGCTGCATCCTGGATGAGCTGCAGAGGTCGGATGGCACATGCAGGTAGACCAGCCAGGAGGGAGTTGCAATAGTCTAGGCGTGAGATGACGAGAGCCTGGACCAGAACCTGAGTTTGAGGTGGTGAGCAGACATCCACTGAGAGATGTCAGCCAGACAAGCAGAGATGCGTGCGACGACCTGGGTCTCTGAGCGGGGAAAGGACAGAATTAATTGGGTGTCGTCAGCGTAGCAGTGGTAAGAAAAACCATGCGGGCTAATGACTGATCCGAGCGAGTTTGTGTACAGGGAGAAGAGGAGGGGACCAAGAACAGAGCCCTGAGGGACCCCCGTAGTTAATTGACAAGGGTCGGACTCAGACCCTCTCCAAGTCACCCTGTAGGTGCGGTCTTTCAGGTATGAGGTGAGGAGGGAAAGTGCAGAGCCAGAAACTCCAAGTTTTTGGAGAGTGCGAAGGAGGATCTGATGGTTCACCGTGTCGAATGCAGCAGACAGGTCCAACAGGATGATGACAGAGGAGAGGGATGCAGTTTTGGCAGTGTGCAGTTCCTCTGTGACAGCAATGAGAGCAGTTTCTGTGGAGTGACCTGCCTTGAAACCAGACTGGTGCGGATCCAGAAGGTTGTTCTGATGGAGATAACAGGAGAGTTGTTTAAAGACAGCGCGTTCAAGTGATTTAGACAGGAACGGGAGGAGAGAGACAGGCCTGTAGTTTATAACATCAGACGGGTTGAGAGTGGGTTTCTTTAGGAGAGGGTTTACTCTTGCCTCCTTGAGACTGTTTGGAAAGTGACCAGAAGTTAGAGAAGTGTTGATGAAATGGGTGAGAAACGGTAGAATATCAGGAGCGATAGTCTGAAGGAGGTTTGAAGGGATAGGGTCCAGAGGACAGGTGGTAGGGCGGGCAGAGGTAATGAGGGTAAGAACCTCACTTGGAGAGAGAGGGGAAAAGGAGGTTAGTGTGTTGGTGGAAGGAAGGTCTGGTGACCCAGCGGTGAGTAAAGGTGAGTCAGAAAAAGAAGAGCGAATATCATCAACCTTTTTTTCAAAGTGGGGTAACAAAGTCGCTTGACAGAAGGGAGGAGGGGGAAGGGGACTTTGGGGGGGTCCAAGAGGGTGGAGAAGATGGAGAATAGTTTTTTAGGATTGGAATAGGAAGATTGGATCTTATCTTGAAAGAAAGTGCTTTTTGCCTGAGAGATGGAAGCAGAGAAAGAGGAGAGGAGAGCTTGATAGGTTAGGAGGTCGTCACGGTGTTTGGATTTCCACCATTTCCGCTCTGCTGCCCGAAGGACGGTTCTATTAGCACGCAGTGCATCATTTAGCCAGGGAGCAGGAGGGGACTGACGAGCCTGCCGAGATGTGAGAGGACAGAGAGAGTCCAGAGAGGATGAGAGAGTAGAGAGGATTGTTTATATATCACACATTAACATTATATATCATACATTAACATTATATATCATTATATATCACACATTAACATTATATATCATACATTATCATTATATATCATATGATATACATATAGGTATTATAAAACATGATATATCATATTAAGACACTTAATGTTCCAGTACATCCGGGTGTCGTACGACTCGAAGGCGGACTCGCTGCTGCACCTGATGGTGAAGGACTGGGAGCTGGAGCTCCCCACCCTCCTCATCTCCGTTCATGGGGGCCTGCAGAACTTCGAGCTGCCCCCAAAACTGAAACAGGTTTTTGGGAAAGGCCTGATCAAAGCGGCGGTGACCACTGGAGCTTGGATCTTCACCGGGGGGGTCAGCACGGGTAACAAAGCGCTCCTCACTTCTATTGCCTCTAAAGGTGCAGGGTTAGAGGGAGGGGTTTGAAATGTTGGTTCATACGGTCCTGCAGCTAACAGGATGTCCGGGGTTCTCCTTAGAGAGCTTCAGGGATTCAGTTTGGTACAGGCTCGGTTCAGACCCAGGTGCTGTTCGGTGGGATGCAAATAGGGGGGTGCACACTTTACTCTGAGAATAATGCAAACATAAAATCAGTTTAATTGATGCGTCACATGTTTTGTGAAGTGCTGTATCTGCTGCATGAACTGATCTCCTGCATCAGATCCTGCACTGAAACCAGGACCCAGACCCCAATCTGAGGACATTTCTACATCTGAATGTTCATATATTTCAGCTCTCTTTTACATATTTCAGTCTAACGTTGTGATGGCCAGAAATAAATAGAATCCTCTCCGGGTGAAGGTACAGTTGAGATTACCTTTATAAACTCTTCATGAACTTCCAGCTGATCTGTTTTTCAGGAGTGATCCGTCATGTGGGGGACGCTCTCAAAGACCACTCATCAAAGTCCAGAGGGAAGGTCTGCGCCATCGGCATCGCCCCGTGGGGAATCATCGAGAACAAGGAGGACCTCATCGGGAGAGACGTGAGATCATATCAACACGCCGACATTTAGAAATACACAATACCACACGGCAGGATGATACCATACCATAGTACTTTACCGTCAGATCTAGACTGAAGTTTTCCTGGCAGCTTAAGATAGATAGATAGATAGATAGATAGAGCCACCATCCCATTTAGGAAAAGCGCATTCATCCAGGCTGTCTTTTCATTCCACGCATCCCATCAATGGAATTCAATACCACAACCAATAAGAGAATCCTCATCCTACTACTCATTCAAGCACAGTATTCAAAAGTGGCTCATTAATAATCAACAGTGTCAGCACTGATGTGTGGGTGTAGGTGTGTGTCTGAGTGTGTATGTGAATGTTTTATTTATTATCATGATTGCTCTTATCTGTATTCAGTGATGTCATCTATTGTAAATGTGTAAAATGGTATAACAATGTCGTGGTATTTTCATCATTGCTTTTAGGATGTCTATCACCATCTGGCAAAGGGACTATCGGTGAAAACTAGCCTTTGGCTAATTCGAGTACTTTTACATGTTGTTAATATGTTGATTAATGTACACTGTCCCTTGTTTTGTTGCACTTATATACTAATAAAGGGCTGGCTTATCTGAAGCCAGTTGAGTAGCACTTAAAATGTTTTAGCTCTATGAAACCTGATGTACTTTATGATTCTGTTTTCTTCAAGTTTGTATCTTGTTGGTCGAACGCACTTAACCCTAACCCTATTATATATTTATCCAAAGCGACGCACACACCCTTCAGTACCAAAGACTCAATGCCAACAGGAGCAGGGCGGGGGGAGGTTCAGTATCCTGTCCAAAGACACTTGTTGACTGGAGTCAAACCACTGACGCTCTGATTGGTCGATCAGATCTATTTTACTTCCTGATTACATTTTACGTTAGGAATATTCTCTGTTGCACTGTTGCAGGCAACATTAGCTGCTACACAGACCTCAGTAAAGCCTTTGAATCTTGAATACAGCGCATCAGTGAATCTCCGGTATCTGTGCACGCTACAGAAAGCTCTGCTGGTTCTTCACTCTGAACCCTTTTTGCAGGTGACCCGGCCCTATACGACCATGTCCAACCCGCTCAGCAAGCTGTCGGTTCTGAACAGTAGCCACTCCCACTTCCTCCTGGCTGACAACGGGACGCACGGGAAGTACGGCGCCGAGGTGCGCCTCCGCCGGCAGCTGGAGAAACACATCGCTCTGCAGAAGATCAACACTCGTGAGTCCCACGTTAGCTCAATGCTAAAACAACTTCTCCTACACTGAGAGAACTTACATCTGTTAAAATGTATGCAGTACAGTTAGTGACTAACTTACAATACTTGTATAATACATGTAGTCCTGAGCCAGGACAGACTAGCCATGGAGAAGTGATTAGGAAAGACAGAGGATGTTCTCTTATCTCTATAGAGAGCTGCAGGGTGTGGGGTTTCTCTGTTGGACTCTGAAGGCAGCATCTCCCTGGTCCAATGGGATTTCTCAATATGATTTTGGATTATGTCAAACGATCATGTGACCAGTGGGTTTCCCTTTGACATCCTATGCCTGAAGCTGTGTAAGGCAGGGACAGCAAAGGGAGGCCCAGCCGTCACTACCTTCAGCTCTAGAGCAGTGGTTCCCAAACGGTGTGCCGCGGCACACTGGTGTGCCGTGAGGCAAGTCCGGGTGTGCCGTGGGATTTTGTGACAACCATACATTATTATTGCAATATACAACTACACAAAAATAATTATTTTTTAATTTACTATATCAGTACTTTGTAGGTTTATATGTACGTAATCTGCGCGACTTGCGCGTCCACATCTCCACGTGCAGTGCTGCATAAACATGGCTGAGTCAGCGATAACTCTCGAGGGGTGGAGGTATGCCCATTACTTTGAGTTTGTCCGAAGAATAGACAGGAATGTGACGGTGAGGTGCAAACTGTGTCCAGGCCAGAAGCTGTTATCCACTGCTGGAAACACCACGTGGTCAAACCTCAACACACACCTGCAAAGAACACATGCTAAGGTGAAGCTACCGCACACGCTATGTGTTGTTTGTTCATATCACGCAGTCTGTTCTTCTTCTCTGTCTTCCGGTTGTTGCCTGTTTTTAATGACAAATACACACTACCGCCGCCTGCTGGTAAGGACAGTTATTGCCACTCACGCATGCGCAGTTCGTACGTGCTCAACGAGTAAAGTAACGAGTTACTTTATGTAGATAGTAACGAAGTAGTGTAATATATTACTTTTTTTAAAGTAATACATTTATAATTTATAATGTGTAGTTCAGGACCATGCAATGCAGCTTCCTTGCATTGACAGTTCTCTGTGCTGAGTTTCTGCTGAGTGTCCTTTGCCTCATTTGTAATGTTGTGACCTGTCTGGTTTAAATTAGTGTGTTGCTGCTTTGATGAAGCCTAATTTGATAAAGTTTCAAATTAATTTCTGAAATATTTCGTTAATAAATATTTCATGAGTAATATAGTTGTCTTTGTCACATTTTATTTGGCATTAGTAAATAATTATGCACATTTACAGATATTTGACATGATATGAGTGATAACACGTGTTATAAGGGCTATTTTGCACAATAGGTGTGCCTTGAGATTTTTACTTGTCCTTTGGTGTGCCTTGGGCACAAAGAGTTTGGGAACCACTGCTCTATATATATATATGTTCATTGGCTTTGCACTTTGCACACTACTACCTGAGACAGACAGTTATAGCTCTGAAATCCAGTGTGTTTGGTGTCAGTTTCACATAAGCTGTGTTGGTTTCCTGAGGGAAGGTAAACATTTTACAGGAGAGATCTACAAAAAAATAAAAATAAAGGTTAAATGTTTGTGAAAGTTTTACAATACAGACATACATTATTGCGCACATACTGTAGTGACCTAATAAATGGCCTGTTTGAAAAAAAGGTTTTGTGTGGTAACAACCCCAATGTCCAGTTTAAATATTATAATAGGTTTTTAAGGTTAAAGAGCTTACGAAATGAAGGACAACACTATTCTTATTAGGATAATAAATACTGTTATTAATGGGAAATCATTTGTCATTGATGACAATATGCCCGCTGTATTTATAAATCGTGATTTATTACAACTTTCCATGCTCGCTTCCGATGTTACACGACTGCTCCGGACCAAACGGCTTTCGCCGGTTAGTTACGTCACGCACGTCACGAGTAGAACCCTTTTTGAATAATACACTTACTATATGGCTGATGTCGGACTCTGGCTCGGATATTTCGACAGAATCGAGTGACAGTGAGTCGTCAATAGACTCGGTGCACTTTCAAGAAGAGGAGGATTTTATTGAAGAGGATGCTGGTGTGGAGTCTAACGTGGTGGAACCATACCAGTTTGAGCCACAGTATTCAAGTAGCGGTAGAGATACAGACGGGAGCGAAAATGGGGACGATGATCCTGGATTTGGCGGAGATCCGGTGCGGCAACAAAACACAGACTGGTAGGCTATATACATTTGACTTTAATTCATAGAGAATTACTAGTCGTAAATATAATATGCCCACGGCTGTGATTGACAACCTGGACAGCCAGTCAGAAGCTAGAATGCCAACCTAGAGAGCCAATCAGAACCTAGAACGGGCTGCAGGGCTGGCCAGACTATTATATTGTGCATAAAGTTAGATGCATTAGAATGCTAAACTTTTTCATGACGGTTTTGGGTGGACCTCTGACGCGGGCCTCGCTCTCTCCCGGCCCAGCCCCTTCAGTTAATGTATTAGCCTACTTTCAAAAACATAAGATTGACAACCAATCAATAGCTCCGTAGTCTGTATTCTATCTATATGGCGCTGGTCTGTAGGCCTATGCAATACAGTGTCAATGTAACTGCTTACTGTGAAGAACGTGAATACACGGAGGTTCTTCCCACGGCACCCGAAGCCCCGTTTTCATCCTTTTCCCCCGTGAAATGTCTGGGCAGCTGGTCACCGGCTGACAACAAACCAAGTCAGAAACTTTTTTTTTACATGTCATTTTGAGTCAGGCTTTATGCTTGTAAACATTGAACAACAAGTAGCGCGGCTTACCTTCGCTCTCTCCCTTTTGGAGAATGCATTTCGCCGTCTCTTTAGTGGAGGACTCTGCATCGGGGGACATGTAGGAATCGGCGTGGTGGCTTGTGCTGGCATTTGGGGTCTTGGCAGTATTGTTGGAACAGCATCTTTGTTCAGTTTGAAATTATTTTTTAATCCAATTTCCTTAGCGAGCATTGTGGACTGGTCGAAACACGATCTTTCAAAGTGCTGCCCACAAATTGTAGGTTTCATCGACCCCGGGTTACCTGGTTATATGATGAATTGGAAATGGTTGGACCCTGATGTAAACAAGACGAAAGTCTTTCTCTGGTCTGCATCCCCTTAACAATTGTATGTTTTGAGCTGTACTGTACTGTACCCAATATACAAGCTGTTAATACACTTTTCAATCAATCAAGTCCAGCAAAGCCCGCCCTCGTACGACGCACTTGTTTGGTCCATATACGCGACATTTGACAATTTTTTGGCCACAAAAACATCCCATAGCCAGATTTGGCATTTAAACAATGGTGACTCAGCTGTGTTCTGCTCAGCTGTGTTCTACTCATGACGTCACCGCCGGAAATGACCGAAGTTGTTGTTTCCAGAGCGACGAACGATTGTTACTAACTGACAACATTTGTATGCTGTTATAATCGTGATTTATTAAAAAATACATCAATAATGAAAAAATCATATGGCACATTTCACAATACAAATGTAACCTCTATCATATACCAAGCCCACTAACAGGTGCTAATAGCATTTCGTAAGCTCTTTAATGTAATTTACAGTATGCTTACACACGCTCGCACGCACATACACACACACACACACACACACACACACACACACACACACACACACACACACACACACACACACACACACACACTACACTCCTTGATTGCGTCTTTCCAAAAACGTTTTGATGAGTTGAACAAAATCCTCCAATAAGGTTCAAACACTTAAACATTCATTTCCCGCTTCCTCCCGTTTTGCAAAAATATGATTGTTTCAGACTACTACTTTAAAATATACTGTGTACAGTACGTGCTTCTCTTTGAAATTCCCTTATTTAATTCCTCTGTTAAATAAAGAATATATCTTTTATTTTACCTTGAGTTATTGCAGCACATGCTGTCACCATCAGCAGGAGAAGCACACATTCCATCAGATAGAAATAAAAAGAGATGACAGAAAATGGTCGTTCACATGCACAAAATCTAATTATATTGTGCTGCTATTAACTTGCATACTATTCTGTAAAATACAAATGTGCTGCATATTGCATTAGATATCATGTTAAGATCTTACCTTTAAGTCTATGTCAGGATGTTCTGGAGAGTGAATCTGAGTGAGTTGTATACCCTCATTGCAGCCTGAGACCTGAAAAACAGGCTTGGGGCTTAACAGCTTTTAACCCTAACCCTGTTTTTCAGGTCTCAGGCTGGAAAATGACATTCCCAGAACAAATGACTATATCTTCATTTCTAAAAGGGATACATTAATAATCTCTTTTCTCAAAGCAATGATAAATGTCACAGTCTGCTCCCTCACTCACCTATTTTCTGCATTAGCATTTCTCAGCCACCTTAGTCACCTGGTAGTCACACCCTGTTTCTCTCACACTCTGTTACACCCATCAGCTCCACTAGTATAGGCCCCCTTCACTCTCACCTCAGTGCCAGATCGTACTTCGCAGAATGCAGTTCTTTCCAGCATTACCTCCCAGATTGCTCTCCCAGTTTCGACCTTGCCTGTCCCTGACCAGCCTGCTTCACCTGTTCCTGACCCTGCCTGTACCCGGACGATTCTGCCTCGCCTGCTCCTTGACCCTGCCGGTACCTGCGTCTCCCGTCTTGCCTACTCCTGGAACCCTCGCCTGTCCCCGACTAGCCCTTTGCCTACTGTCTGCCGGTTTGTCTTACACCAAGGCAAGGCAAGGCACGGCAATTTTATTTATATAGCACTTTTCAGCACGTGGCGATTCAAAGTGCTTTACAGATTAAAAGCAAAAGACATTTAAGAACAAATACAAAATAAATACATTATTAAAAAGGCATTTAAAAACAGGCATAATAATTTTTAGTCGGGATTTAAAAATAGGAAGTCTTTCGGCGGACGCGCATGCACCAGGACTTTCCATTGGGAACAATTTATAATAAAGCTGGTTACCGACTTTCC